CCTCTGATCTTGAGTGTGGGGGCAGGTCAGGTGCTGCCGGGCATGGATCCTGCCGTGCCTGTGGCTCCAGTGGCCTCGAGCGAACACCTCCATCCCCAGTCCTGCCGCATAGGTCACCGCGCCGAGGTCATGAGACGGTGCACCCACAGGCTCTTCACGTCCTACTCTTCTAGTCCAGCGTCTCTCCCACTGGGAGCTGTGGACGTTGGGGCTGGATCATCCTCTGGGGCGGAGCCGTCCTGGGCACTCCAGGGCACTGAGCAGCATCCCTGGCCTCCACCCACTCCATGTGAGACACCACGAAGTGTCTCAGCACATCCGTCGAGAACCACTGATCTGGGAGAGAAACAGAATCTAGAGAGACGCACGCATGATCCTTTGGGAGCCACCGATGTGGGAGAGAAACAGAATCTGGAGAGAGATGCACGCATGATCCATCGAGAACATGATCTGGGGAAGCAGAATCTAGAGAGATGCACGCATGATACATCAAAGGCCACAGTCTGGGAGAGAAACAGAATCTGGAGAGAATGCATGCGATCCATCGAGAACCACCGATCAGGGAGAGACAGATACAGAAGATGCCGCCTTGCGATCCGCCGAGAACCGCGATGGGGAAGAACGAATCTGGAGAGAGATGCGCGCGGTCGCCGAGAACCACCCGTGCGGGAAAGCAGAATCTGGAGAGATGCCGCGCAGTCCGCCGGAAACGCCGATCTGGGGGAAACAGAATCTGGAAGTCGCCCGATCCCTCCCGAGAACCACCAGTCAGGGAGGACAGAATCTAGAGATGCACGCCGATCCATCGAGGCCACCGATGGGGGAAGAAACAGAATCTGGAGAGATGCATGCAGTCCGCCGAGAGCCACGATCGGGGAGGGCAAGTCTGAGAGAGATGCACGCACGTCCTCGAGAACCACTGATGTGGGAAAGCAGAATCAAGAGAGATGCACATGCGATCCATCAAGAACCCCGTGTGGGAAGAGACAGAATCTGAGATGCACGCATGATCCATGAGGAGCCACCGTCAGGAGAGAGACAGAATCTGGAGAGAGATGCGCCATGATCCATCGAGAACCACCGATCTGGAGAGAAACAGAATCTAGAGAAGTACACGCATGATCCTTCGAGAACCACCGATCAGGAAGAGACAGAATCTGAGAGATGCACGCCACGATCCATGAAAACTGCAGTCCCAGGGAGAGAAACAGAATCGGAGAGAGGTATGCATACGTCCATGAGAACCACCGATGTGGGGAGAGAGACAGAATCTGAGAGGTGCACGCCTGATCTCCGAGAACCACCGATGTGAGAGGGCAGAATCTGAGGCCCTGCAGATCCATCGAGGAGCCACCGATGTGGGAGAGGACAGAATCTAGAGATGCCTGTAAGATCATGAGAACTTACCGACAGGAGAGAGACAGAATCTAGAGATGCCTGCAAGATCCGCCCAGGCCACCGATGTGGGAGAGACGATCCATCGAGAACCACCGATGTGGGAGAGACACGGAATCTAGAGAGATGCATACACACACGTGTGCACACACACAGCTTCTGCAAAATCCAGTGGGTCGGTAGAATCCACGGGTTTCCTCAGCATTTGCCTCCTGGAGGAGGCCGGGTGTGGTGGCTCACACCTGGGATCCCAGCACTTTGGGAGGCCAAGGCAGGAGGATTGCTTGAGGCCAGGAGTTTGAGATTAGCCTGGGCAACGTGGTGAGATCTCGTCTGTTACAGAAAAATGAAATTCTCTGGCAGCGCCCCTCCCCTCTTTGCCAATGTTCATGAGCAGATATTTTACACAGTTGACGTTCTAGGTCTGCGAAGTGCTCAGACAGGTCATCTGCGTGGTTTTTAAAGCTTTTGGTGCCCTGCCTCTGATCCTGTCTACACGGGGATGAAGGCCTCTGTGTGTGTGTGCACGCATGTTAACCTATGTGTCTTGGGCCGTTAAACATCTGTGCACTTAAAGTTAAAATGGACGTTTGCATAGAAGTGATAAGAAGCGTCGTTTTCTTACAAAAGAAACTGCCCCTCGGGCAGCTGGCTTCTAGGACTCCAGCACAGTGAGCAACGTGCAGCCGCTCCCTCCTGCTGTCCCCCTCGGCTACCACCCTTCACTGCTCCCTTCTGAGTGACGACAGCTGTTTGCCCTCATGTCTACGTGACCCTGGGCACAAGACCACGTCCCCCTGCCCAACCCGCCTCGGTTCATCTGGAGACAGAGCCGACCCACTTGCTGCAGTCGTCCTGAGGACAGAGGTGCGTTCTGAGACGCCTGCTCGCCAGGCGATAGTGTCAGTTTGCTGGGGCCACCGTGACACAGTGCCATAGACCTAGTGTCAGTTTGCTGGGGCCACCGTGACACAGTGCCATAGACCAGGCAGCTGAAACAGAGTTCATCGTCTCTCGGTCCTGGAGGCCAGAAGTCCATGATCAGGGTGCCCACGGGGCTCGTTCCTTGTGAGGATGTGAGGGTGAGCTGGTGTCCCTGCCGCGTGGCCGTGTCACCCCATCGCTGCCCTCGGTGTCCCTGTCATGTGGCCGCATCACCCCATCTCTGCCCTCGGTGTCCCTGCGGTGTATTGCATCACCCCATCTCTGCCCTCGGAGTCCCTGCCGTGTGGCCGCATCACCCCATCTCTGCCCTCAGTGTCCCTGTCATGTGGCCGCGTCACCCCATCTCTGCCCTCGGAGTCCCTGTCGTGTGGCCACGTCACCCCATCTCTGCCCTCAGAGTCCCTGCCGTGTGGCCGTGTCACCCCATCTCTGCCTTCATGTCCACACAGTGTTCCCCCTGTGTGTGTCTGCATCCAAACGTCCCCTTTTTATAAGGACATTAGTTATTGCCTTAGGGACGTGCCGTACTCTGGTATGACGTCATCTTACCGAATTCTGTCTGCCAAGATCTTATTTCCAGGTGAGGTCACATTCCGAGGTTCTGGCAGTGAGGAGTTCAGTGTATGGATCTGGGGGACAGGGTTCAGCGCGTGACAGTATTCAGCCCCTGGAGCCGCTTGTCAGTGCAGCTGTGCGCAGAGGGTCCCTGGGCCCGGCTGGGGAGTGGGACTCGGCGGCAGACCCCGGCTGTGCTGTTCTCATGCTGTGCTGGCTCAGAAGGAGGAGCTGCGGCCTCCTGGGTGCTGGGTCAGAGTTTCCTTGTAGGCATTTGTGGCTTTAGTCACTTTTCAGAGAGCACAGAAGAATAAGAAGTTATCCAGAGGCGCCGGGCGCGGTGGCTCACGCCTGTAATCCCGCACTTTGGGAGGCCGAGGCGGGCGGATCACAAGGTCAGGAGATCGAGACCGCGGTGAAACCCCGTCTCTACTAAAAATACAAAAAATTAGCCGGGCGCGGTGGCGGGCGCCTGTAGTCCCAGCTACTCAGGAGGCTGAGGCAGGAGAATGGAGTGAACCTGGGAGGCGGAGCTTGCAGTGAGCTGAGATCGCGCCACTGCACTCCAGCCTGGGCAACAGAGCGAGACTCCGTCTCAAAAAAAAAAAAAAAAAAAAAAAGAAATTATCCAGAGGCAGCCGTCACCGTGCAAGATTCCTTCAGGCCCGGCACTTCCTTGTCCATCCCGAGGCTGGTGGCCTCTCGGCCAGGCTCTGTCTGACCCAACCTGAATCCCAGTGTCCGATCTCAAACCTGTGCTTCTCCTCATGGCGGTTCCCCTGCTCTGGAGGCCTCAGGCCTGCCTCTCCCTTGCCTCATGCGTCTTGGCACACAGAGCGCAGCTAAAAATATGGTCCACTACGCACAGGCTGGGCCAGGCCCCAGGAGGAAGGCCGGTGGCACACAGCCCTGCCACCGTGTGTGTTGGCCAGCGAGGGACACAGACAGGGAAGACCCAGCCGCTTGGACACACCAGAGACCCTCACAGGGAGTGGATTCCAGGGAAGGCGGCCGCCCAGCCCAGCCTGGAAGGAGCAGGTGGAGGAGGGAGGCCCGGCTAAGGGAACCTCATCGCAAGAACAGAGGATGGGGGTCCCTTCCCACGGTGGCAGTGCAGAGGATGGGGGTCCCATCTCACGCCCAGGGCCTCCCCGAGGGCTGCCCCTCCACGCACCAGCACCACAGCAGCCCCTCTCCATGCCTGCTTCCGGCCTCAGAGCAGGTTCTCCAAATGCTCCCAGTGAAGCTCCCAGTGAAACTGCAGCCAGGCAGCATTTCTGGAATAGCCTCAGCCTGTGTTGATCTGGACACTGTGGATGCACAGGCACCCGTCCACGTGCCTGCCTGTGTGGGGGTGTTCACTCAGCATTATGCACGCCTGGTCTCGTACCCCTCCCCACGCCCTCCCCACACGCACCCCTGATCCCCACACGCGCCCATGATGGGGAGGTGCTGTCGCCATCCATGGGGGACAGAGGAGGAAACTGAGGCTCAGCAGAGTTAAGTTGCTTCCCGTAGGTCACACCACCAAAAACAGCCAACCGAGGTCTATGCCGCGAGTCTCACTGCGAGGAATCATTATTATTATTTTTTTTTAGATGGAGTCTCACTCTGTTGCCAGGCTGCAGTGCAGTGGCACGATCTCGGCTCACTGCAACCTCCAACTCCCTGATTCAAGTGATTCTCCTGCCTCAGCCTCCCGAGTAGCTGGGAGTACAGGCACATGCCACCATGCCCAGCTAATTTTTATATTTTTAGTAGAGATGGGGTTTCACCGTGTGAGCCAGGATGGTCTCGATCTCCTGACCTCGTGATCCACCCGCCTCGGCCTCCCAAAGTGCTGGGATCATAGGTGTGAGCCACTGCGCCCGGCAGAATCATGTTATTAACAACAGACACCACAGGGCGCCAAGTGCTGGGCTGACAGCTTCTGGGTTATTTTTTGCCCTGACCCCTGACAGCAGCCACAGTGGGGCTCCCCATTTTACAGACATGGAGGCGGAGGCTCAGGCTGAACAACCCGTCCAAGCTCACAGGCTTTGCAGGCCACGATCCGGGACCCAAACCGCCTGGCCCCTCCCTCACAACCCGGCCGGCTTATAACAACCAAGATTGATTTCCCTCGCAGCTCTGGAGGCCAGAAGTCTGAGATGAAGGTGCGGGCCGGGCCATGTTCCCTCTGAAGGCCCCGAGGGAGGCTCCGTCCTGCCTCTTCCAGCTGCTGGGGGCCGGTGAGCCCCGCCTTTCTTCATGTAACCACGTCGCCTCAGCCTCTGCCTCTATCTGCACGTGGCCGTCTCCGTGCGGCCGTGTTCAGTCCCTGCATTAGGGCCACCACAGCGACCTCATCTCCACTTGCTTCCATCTGCAAAGACACAAACAAGGTCCTGTGCTCAGTCCCAGGAGGACGTGACTAGGGGAACACTGTTCAGCCCAGAACTTGGCTGCTCCGGCGGCGGCGGCTGCTTCTCTGCACAGCTTGTTGCATCCAAACGTTTAGAGTCACCGTGGCCGGCCTGCGGGGTAAATGGAGGCACGGTGAGGCCGAGCCTGCCCAAGGTGGTGGCACAAGGCAGCCGGCCAGCCTGCCCCGGGGGAAGCTCACGCAGCTCGTGGCGGGACTTCCTGCTCAGCGCCGTGAAGGTCACTGCGGCCGAGGCCCCTCCAAGTTGGCCCAGGCACCCAGGAAACCTGTGTGAAAGGTCTTGTACTAAAAAAAGACCTGTCCGTAGACTGCAGCTCCAGATTCCAGAACAGCCTCCCCCGATGTCACCATCTGGCGCCCTTTAGAGCTTTGGCAGGAAACTGCAGGGACCACAGACATGAGCAGAAGCGGCTGTCAAGTCCTGGGAGTGAGGAACAAGACAGGGTGTCGGCGGGGACCAGGAGGGTGTCGGGGGGGGACGAGGCGGGGGTCGGAGGGGAAACAAGATGGGTCTCCTGGGGAACCAGACGGGGATCTGAGGTGGAACGAGGTGGGCAGGTCTCTGAGGAGGAATGAGACGGGTCCCCAAGAAGTCCCTGGGGGGAGTCCTGCAAGTCCTGTGAAACAGTGATGCCAGGGCAGGCCCACCTGGCCCCGTTGGGTGCTGAGAAATGCTTGCTGACATGCCACAGAAGAGGTAAATTGAGGAAAGGGGCAGTGGCTCTGGCTCAGGACAAGGTCTCTCCCTCTCAGCACTGTGGACATTGGGGCTGGATCGTTCTCTGGAGTGGAGCTGTCCTGAGCACTGCAGGGTGCTGGGTGGCATCCCTGGCCCCACCCACCTCATGCCAGAAGCAGCGGCGGAGGGGACGTCCGTGGGGCCTCAGTACCACCCTCGGAGCGCTCAGGAGGCTCTGGGAGCAGGCGGGTTCTCTCAGGCAGCCCCTGCTTGCCTGCTGGCCTCACACTTTCTTTTTTCTTTTTTTTTTTTTTTGAGACGGAGTCTCGCTCTGTCGCCCAGGCTGGAGTGCAGTGGCCGGATCTCTGCTCACTGCAAGCTCCGCCTCCCGGGTTCACGCCATTCTCCTGCCTCAGCCTCCCGAGTAGCTGGGACTACAGGCGCCCGCCACCTCGCCCGGCTAGTTTTTTGTATTTTTTTAGTAGAGACGGGGTTTCACCGGGTTAGCCAGGATGGTCTCGATCTCCTGACCTCGTGATCCGCCCGTCTCGGCCTCCCAAAGTACTGGGATTACAGGCTTGAGCCACCGCGCCCGGCCGTTAGGCCTCACACTTTCTGGCCGTGCGTGGCCGGATTGGTGATCTCAGGGCCTCAGGTCACTGTCTGTGAAATGGGCGTGTGAAGGCCTTTCTACCTTGGCCGCCCTGGAGCTGAGATCGGCCAGCACCCTTAAAGTGAGGCCCAGCGAGTTAGGGGCAGGCCTGGGGCACCTGGAGTGGGGAGTGTGAGGGGTCCTGATGGGGGTTTCTCCTGCACCCCCAGGTATTACCTCTTCTGGGCTCAAGATGGACAACAAGAAGCGCCTGGCCTACGCCATCATCCAGTTCCTGCACGACCAGCTCCGGCACGGGGGCCTCTCATCCGACACGCAGGAGAGCTTGGAAGGTGGGTGGGCGCCCGCCACCTCCCCCTCCCTTCCTGGGCCGTGGCCGGCACAGTCGCCCAGTGTAGACACCTGGTGTGTAGACGCCTGGTCCCCCACCTGGCTTCTTGGGGGAGGAAGCTGAGCCCAGAGAGGGCCGGGGCCTGCCCAGGGCCACACAGCCCCCACCCACGGGAGCCAGGGCCGAGCTGAGCCCTCCACCTGCCACTGCATCGTGCCACTGCCGCTTGCTGCCTTCAGGCTGAGCTGTCTTCCGGTGGCCTCTTTCCATCTCCCCGTTTTCCACCAAGGTGTGGTTCCAGAATGTTCTCAGCACCCAGTGTGTCGCCATCGGTCATGGGAAAACAGCTCTCCTAGTGCTGGCCCCACCCCAGAGTCGCAGACCTGTTGGCGTCCTGCATGGCCTGTCCAGGCCCCAGGCGCCGTGGTCTCCTGTCTGGCCTTGCTTGCACTTCTGCGACACCTGGATCCGAGGCTCAGAGGGAAAGGAGGGCTCGGGGAGGCACCCTCATGTGCCGGCAGGTTCTGCTCTAGGTCCTCCTTCCCCACCTGTGTCCCTGGGCCTGCCAGGCCTCTGTAGCATGGACGCCCACTGACAGCTGTAGGAATGTGCCTGGGATCCTGGACACAGTGCTGGGCAGGAAGTGGCCGACCCCCACTTCTGACCTGGGTTAGGACCCTGGGTCCACAGGAGGAGGAGGCCAGGGCTAGTGTTGTCTGGCTTGGTGGGAGGCCCCCCTAGGTGCTGAGTCTGTTGGGTGGGCCAATGAAGAGACGGGCCCTGTGGCTGTTTCCTGTCCTGCTATCAATGGTCCTGCCCTCGTACAAACCCAGTCACACGGGACTTTACTGGGGGCTGGCTTCAAGCGCCTGACTCAGGCCAGGCGCCCTTGGAGGTGCAGCAGCATCTGGGGCACCTCACCCCCGACGTGGCCCTGCTGCTGGGGCGGACCCCCCACCACGCCGCAGCCGGGCAGCCCCAGCATTGGGACCCCACAGAGGCCTGAGGTCACCACCTGGGCCCCACTCTGCCCACGGCCTCCCCTGCTGTCAGGTGCACAGGATGTCTCTGTCCAGCTTTTCTTTTTGGGAAGGAGGAGGGTCCGCTGTCCCAGCCCAGAGCACAGGTGGCGGCCCCCGTGTTCCAGGGTCCTTGGGAACGAACACACTTGGGGAATCATGAGCACCACCCCCACCCACTAGACCCGAAAACGTAAGCTCGGGGCTGCGTGCAACAAGTGGGACCACCTCTGTCCCCACTTCCAGTCGCCATCCAGTGCCTGGAGACTGCATTTGGGGTGACGGTGGAAGACAGCGATCTCGCGCTCCCTCAGACTCTGCCAGAGATATTTGAAGCGGCTGCCACGGGCAAGGTGAGCCTCGAGGGTTCCCCAGCCACCGCCCCCAAAATAAGAACAGCAGCAGCAGGCAGCGCTGGGGACCCCGGAAGCCCAGCTTGCATCGTCCCCCAGGCACTCTGCCTACATCCTCTCCTGGGCAGGGGACGTGGCTGCAGGAGCACTCGGCCCTCCTTCCCCTATTGGCGAGTCCTGAGACTCATAGTGCTGCAGTCACTTGCCCAGGGCCACATGATGGGGGGCCAGGAGCCCCCTGCAGAGCCCCCAAGTCCCTCGGGGCTTGGCGGCCCTCTCTGGGGTCCTGAGGGAAGCTGAGGCTGGAGGGTGCCGGCTTGGGAGGAGAGGACAGCGAACCACTTTTGCCTTCGGGTCCAGGAGGTGCCGCAGGACTTGAGGAGCCCTGCGCGAACCCCACCTTCTGAGGAGGACTCAGCAGAGGCAGAGCGCCTCAAAACCGAAGGTAAGAGAGGACCCTCCACCCCACACAGATGCCTTGCCCCACCTGGACTCTGGGGCTGTGGGACCCTCACAGAGGCCGGCTGGTCCCTGGAGCCCAGGGAGCTGAAGGAAGTGCCCTGATGACCAGCACGCTGGCTTGTGGGGACGGGGACAGAAGGGGGACTGGCGAGGGCACAGGTGCAAAGAAACTTGACCTTCAGGCACGGCACAGCTGGTAGGGATGTCAGGGGAGCGGCCCCTGCGGAAGACTGGCTCATGGCCCCCAAAAGTTACACAGCTTCCATGAGGCCCGGCGGTTCCACCCCAGATACTAAATATGTGCCCAAGAGAGGTGGACACATGTCCACCAAAAACCCAGTCACAAATGCTCACAGCAGCTGTATTCACAAGAGTCAAAAAGCAAGAACAGGCTGGGCGTAGTGGCTCATGCCTGGAATCCCAGCACTTCGGGAGGCCGAGGCGGGTGGATCACGAAGTCAGGAGTTCAAGACTAGCCTGGCCAACATGGTGAAACCCCGTCTCTACTAGAAATGCAAAAAAATTAGCCAGGCGCAGTGGCGGGCACCTGTAATCCCAACTACTTAGGAGGCTGAGGCAGGAGAGTCGCTTGAACCTGGGAGGCGGAGGTTGCACTGAGTCCAGATGGCGCCATTGCACTCCAGCCGGGGTGACAAGAGTGAAACTCCATCTCAAAAAAAAAAAAAAAGAAATATTAAAAAAACAATAAAAAGAAGCAAAAACAGCTTAAATTCCTGTCCACAATAGATGGTCAGTGCAGTGTGGCCCGTCCACATAGTGGAATGTGGATGGGTGAGGTTCTGACCCAGGCCCCAGCGCAGATGCACCATGACGACATCACGCTCAGGGAGAGACGCCAGACACCAAAGGATACACAGCGTGTAATCCCATTTCTTTCGTTCTTTCTTTTTGAGACCGAGTGTCTCTCTGTTGCCCAGGCTGGAGTGCAGTGGTGCGATCTTGACTCACCGCAACCTCTGACTCTCTGGTTCAAGTGATTCTCCTGCCTCTGCCTCCCGAGTAGCTGGGACTACAGACACGTGCCACCACGCCTGGCTAATTTTTCTATATTTAGTAGAGACGGATTTCACCGTGTTGGCCAGGATGGTCTCGATCTCCTGATCTCGCGATCCACCTGCCTCGGCCTCCCAAAGTGCTGGGAGTATAGGCACGAGCCACCGCGCCTGGCCTTATATTTTTAAAGCGTAAGCTTTGTGGCCTGTAAATTATATCTCAGTAAAACTGTTTAAGGAAACACTCTGGTACCCGTCTTCCCCCAACACCCTCCTGAATTGGGATCTTGGGGGTGGGAGCGAGTTTCTGTCTTCAGAGCTCTCAGTTGGTTCTAGGATAGCAGCCGGGCTTTTTACTGTCCTACCAGCTGGGACCCATGCCTGAGATAGAAGCCACATTGCCTATGAAATTAGAAGGTATCACAGGAGTTTTCTAAACTACAGGCCTCCACTTGGGCTCTTTCCAAAAGAAATGGCGAAAGGGACAGTTTCGATCCCTGGGCCGATGGGCCGTATTAACAGTTCTGTTCCCAGGGGTCACCATCCAGGCAGCGAGAGCCACCATCCATCGCCAGGCCGGGCCCTGCCGCCCCCACCTCCATTCCCCTTAGTAGGTGTAGAGATGACCGTTTGCGATTAGCAAACCCCCCACAGATGCAGACGCCTCCTGAGCCCGCGGCTGTGTTGAGCCCTGGGTGCCCCGAAGAGCCCAGTGTGCCGCCGAGAGCCCCAGCGGGTCTGTTTGGACGCCCAGGCCAGTGTTTCCCTCTCTCCCTGTAGGAAACGAGCAGATGAAAGTGGAAAACTTTGAAGCAGCCGTGCATTTCTACGGAAAAGCCATCGAGCTCAACCCAGCCAACGCCGTCTATTTCTGCAACAGGTACCAGCTCGAGGCCTGCCCAGGGCAGGGGCGGCCGTGTGCGGGGGCGTCCTCCGGGATGCTTGGCAGGGACCTGAGATGGGAGAGGCCTCTGCGCTCTAGATAAGGGATCCATTCACCGGCGGTCCCAGACCAGGAGCAAGCACCAGGTGGCCAGCGAGGGGATCAGAGAGAGTCGACGCTGACGTTAAAATCAGGTGGCATGCCCAGCACTCTGGGAGGCCACGGGGGGGAAGATCACTTGAGGCTGGGAGTTGGGGACCAGCCTGGGCAACATATCAAGACCCCTGTCTCTACAGAAAACGTAAAAATTAGTCTGGGGGCCAGGCGCGGTGGCTCACGCCTGTAATCCCAGCACTTTGGGAGGCCAAGGCGGGTGGATTACTTGAGATCGAGAGTTTGAGACCAGCCTGTCCAACATGGTGAAACCATGTCTTTACTAAAAATACAAAATTAGCCAGGCGTGGTGGTATGCGCCTGTAATCCCAGCTACTCGGGAGGCTGAGGTATGAGAATGACTTGAACCTAGGAGGCAGAGGTTGCAGTGAGCCAAGATCGCGCCACTGCACTCCACCCTGGAGACTCTGTCTCCAAAAAAACCCGAAAAAAAAAATTAGCTGGACGTGGTGGTGCATGCCTGTAATCCCAGCTAACTGGGAGACTGAAGCAGGAGAATCACTTGAACCCGGGAGGCGGAGCTTGCAGTGAGCTAAGATCGTGTCACTGCACTCCAGCCTGGGCAGCAGAGCAAAACCCTGTTTCAAAAATAAATACATACGTACATACGTACATACATACATACGTACCTACATACGTACGTACATACATACATACAAAATCAGGTGTCACGGCATTCCATGTGGATGTCAAGCCAAGAAAATAATCCAGTATGTGGAGGGTTGAGTTTTTTTTGAACGTGTGGTCTGGGATCTGCTTTAGGTTGCAGAACAGTTGCAGAGGGAGTGCAGAGTCCCTGGCCGCTTGTCACGGGGTAGTTTATTCTCCACTTACGCTTCTCTGTACTTTGAAAAAGTCGTAAAGAGAAACACTAAACACGAAAATGGTGAAGACAATTCAGATGCTGTCAGCCAAGAGCTTTGAGCTTTGACATTGGTCTGAGTTCTTTTTTTACTGACATGTAAGTAATTTGTCAATGAAACTTGGGTGTAAGTTCCCACGCTCATAGCTCTTGTGCAGCCGTGGATTGGAACAGGTTTTGCAAATAAAATTCTGAGTCGCAGTCCCGAGTGGCTGTTGGTGCTTTGAGCGCACATCTGTCTAAGAGCATCTCAGTGGCTACACCTCTCAGCTTTCCCCGTCAGCCCTGTTTTACAGAGGGGGGAACCTGAGGCCGTTCCTCCAGGAAGCTGAAGAGGAACGCAGCTCTCAGGCTCCCCTCCAGGGCTGCCCACTGGGCTCAGAGCCGCCAGTGAGGGACCTGCCCTGCCTTACTTCCCCAGAGCCGCGGCCTACAGCAAACTCGGCAACTACGCAGGCGCGGTGCAGGACTGTGAGCGGGCCATCTGCATCGACCCCGCCTACAGCAAGGCGTACGGCAGGATGGGGTGAGTGCCTGTCTGCAGCCCGTCTTTCCAGTCTCTTGGGGCTCCCGTCCTCCTCTCACCGCTCCTGCTTCCTCCCTCTCCATCCTGCCTTCTCCTCTAAAAACCACTGCTTCCTCCTTCTCCCGCTCCTGGCCCCTCCCTCCTCACTCCTGCTTCCTCCCCTTTATAAGCTCCTGCTTCCTCCCTCCCCGCTCCTGCTTCCTCCCCTCCCCCGCTCCTGCTTCCTCCCCTCTCGCTCCTGCTTCCTCCCCCTCCCCGCTCCTGCCTTCCTCCCTCTCCACATCCTGCTTCCCTCCCCCTCTCCGCTCTGCTTCCTCCCCTTCTCCCGCTCTGCTTCTCCCCCTCTCCCGCTCCTGCGCCTCCCCTCTCCGCTCCTTCCTCCCCCTCTCCGCTCCTGCTTCCTCCCCCTCTCCCGCTCCTGCTTCTCTCTGGTGTGGCTTTTCCCCCACCACAGCCGTTCAGCTAGTGTCAGTTCAGCTCTGGCCTAGCCGTTCGGCGGAAACCAGCGTAGCTCAGGTCACTTGAGCTCCAGCCCCACAGACACCCTGCATCCATTGCCACCCGAGAGTCCCGGGCCTTCTCCCGATGGCTGTCCCTGGGAGTTCCCATGGCCCCTCTCAGGCTCCGTTGTTTGCTGGGGCGGCTCACAGAGGCTCAGGAAGCCTGCTTCCTCCCCCTCTCCCGCTCCTGCTTCCTCCCCCTCTCCCGCTCCTGCTTCCTCTCTGGTGTGGCTTTTTCCCCCACCCACAGCCGATTCTCCCACCCTGGTTCAGTTCAGCTCTGACACTAGCCGTTCGGAGCCAACGTAGTCCCTACAGGTCGCAGGCTCAGCCCCACAGACGCCCTGCATCACGTGCCACCCGGAGATCCCCGGGCCCCTTGCTTCTCCCGATTGGCTGTCCACTGGGGTTCCCATGGCCCCTACTCAGGCTCCGTTGTTTGCTGGGGCGGCTCACAGAGCTCAGGGAAGCACCTGGTTTATGATGAAGGACACAGGAGGGGTCTGAGGGCGAGGCCAGGAGGGTCCCCGGGGCAGGAGCCTGTGCCCTGTGCAGCTGGTGCCGCCCTCCCAGCATGAGAGTTCATTCGCCTGCTTCTCTGAACGCCCTTGCTCAACGTTGTGGGACTGGGTCTCCCCAGAGGCTGGGGAGGGGCCTGTTCATCTGCCCAGTCTCCCCAGGACCCGCCTCCTCCTGGGCTCTCTAGGGGCCCCAGGTCACCTCAGTAGTGAAGACTCAGGTGGGCGTCAGGACCTGCTTGCGGACGACAGGAGACACGTCTGTCACTGAGTTCCGAGGGTCCTCGATGCCCTGTGCCAGAAAGCGGGGCCAAGAGCACATCCACGCGTTTCCTGTGACCCTGGGCCGGCCCGCTCCCTCCTGTCAGCCCGCTCTGGGCTTTGAGGCCTCGTGTGCAGCCCCATGGGGACGCCAGTTCTTGTGTGGCAGGGGTGTTCTCATGTCTGTCTCCCTTGGTCCTGCCCCTGGGCCCCTAGAAAGCCAGGTTTGTCTCCAGCCAGCTGACAGTGGGCAGGGGGTACCGCCATCCGAGGCGGTTTGGGGATTGCTGGGACCACTGGGGACGAGGGCTTGGGCGGGGCCTCCCGAGCTGGGCAGACGGGAACAGGCCACCCCTGGTGCTCTCCTCCAGCCTGGCGCTCTCCAGCCTGAACAAGCACGTGGAGGCCGTGGCCTACTACAAGAAGGCCCTGGAGCTGGACCCTGACAACGAGACGTACAAGTCCAACCTCAAGATAGCGGAGCTGAAGCTGCGGGAGGCCCCCAGCCCCGTGAGTGCAGCGGGGCGAGTGGCTCCAGAACGCGGAGCGGAGCTGGCTGTGCGGGTGGGGGACACGGAGCTGACTGTGCGGGTGGGGGACAGGGCCTCGGGTGCACTGGCGGCTCTCGGCCTAACCTGGGTGTTGTGGAGGTCCGGGGTTTGTTTCAGTCAGTGGTGAGATGCACAGGCGTGGAAGTGACTGACGTGAGGAGGAGGTTCATGCCCCAGACCCCTGGAACCAGTAGGCGGCCGCAGGCCTGCGAGGGGAGGCGGAGAGAGGGGCACTGACAGGACGCTCTGTGGGTTTTGCGGCGGGGCCGGGTGAGGAGGCTTAGGGTGGACGGGTTGGAGCCATCTCATTAGACCAGGCCTGAGGGCTGCCACTGGTTGCCTGGTTCCTGGCCTGGGGTGAGTGGGGCAGGTGCACTGTGGCCCTGGGGTGATGGAGGTGGTGCTGATGGTGAGGGTTCTGGGTTGGTTTGTATTTTAAAGGTGCGTTTCTGGGTGAGTCATTTGCCGTCTCTGGGAATTGGCTACTCCAGGAGGGGGCGGCTCTGCCAGGCCAGCAAGGCCCGAAGGTGTCAAAGTGGCAGAATACAGGAAATAAACACAGGATAATAGACTGTGCCGTCCCCGGCCTGTGGAGTTGTGCGGGAGATAAACACGGGATAATAGACTGTGCCGTCCCCGGCCTTTGGGGCTGGGCCCCCGGCTCTGTGGAGTTGTGCGGAGATAAACACGGGATAATAGACTCACACAGCTGGCCCCCGGCCTTTGGGGCTGTGCGGATAAACACGGGATGGAGAGAGCTGTGGTGCCCTGGGCGGTCAGACTGTGTGGGGGATAAACACGGATGAGAGACCTCGGCCTGTGGGGCTGTGCGGGGATAAAACACGGGATGAGAGACTGTGTCCCCGGCCTTTGGGGCTGTGTGGGGGATAAACACGGGATGACTGTGTCCTCGGCCCGTGGGGCTGTGCGGGGGATAAACACGGATGAGAGACTGTAGTCCCCGGTGGCTGGCTGTGGGGGATAAAACACGGATGAGAGACTGTGTCCCTGGCCTGTGGGCTGTGCGGGGATAAACACGTGGATGAAAGACTGTGTTGTCCCCCGGGTGGTCGGCTAAAGTGGGGATAAACACGGGATGAGAGACTGTGTCCCTCCGGGTGGTCGGGCTAAAAGTGGGATAAACATGGGATGAGAGACTGTGTCTCTCAAGGTCGGCTGTGTGGGGATAAAACACGGATGAGAGACTGAAATCCCCGTGTCCCCGGGTGGTCGGGCTGTGCGGGGGATAAACACGGGATGAGAGACTGAGTCCCCAGGTGGTCGGGCTGTGCGGGAGATAAACACGGGATAGAATGTTCCACCCCAGGTGGTCGGGCTGTGCTTCGTGCTGCCTCAAAGCACCCACTGGCCGCAGTTTGATAGAATGTCTGAGCCCGTGGGAGGCCGTTGTTTCTGGGTTCCAGGGAGCTTATTCATCGTGGCCTCTGGTCCAGGCCGCGCTAACCAGGGCTGTTCTCATCCTCAGACGGGAGGCGTGGGCAGCTTCGACATCGCCGGCCTGCTGAACAACCCCGGCTTCATGAGCATGGTAAGGGCCCACCCCTCCTCCCTGTCCATGGTACCTGTGCCACGCCCCAGGCCTGCATCTTCTGTGTCACCGCTGCTGGCCAGGGCTTCCTTGCCTCGGCACTGCTGGCGTCTGGGACCAGATGGTTCCTGTCTGTGGGGCCATCCTGGGCACCGCAGGGCACTCGCAGCATCCCTGGCCTCACCCACCCCATGTCAGGAGCACCCCCACCCTCAGCTTTGATGATCAAAAGTGTCCCCGATGTTGATGTCCCAAGCAAGACGCATCAGTAGTGAGCACCGAAAACTGCGTCCTGGCTCTCCTGGCTGAATATCCCGGGGAGATCGCACCCCGCCCGCCCCCCCCTCGCGGCGTGGGCTCCTCCTCGCAGTGCGGAGACACTGATCACAATACAGCCGTGTCTGCCTGCAAGGGAAAGCAAGGGAAGCAGAGTTCAGGCAAGGGAAGCAGAGCGCTGGGCGCCCTGGGCGCAGGTGTACCTCCCGATGCCCGGGCACTCATTCTTCCAGAGGGACGGCCTTTGGCCAGGGGTTCCTTGGCTGGGATCCTTGGAGAGCCACCCACCCACACACGCATGTTCATTTCCTGGGAGGTCTGTGTGCCCTGGGACCACTCTGCAGGCTCCACGGCCTCAGGGTGCAGGGACTTGCCTAAGGCTGTTAGGGGGAGAAAAGCCCTCAGCCTCACTGGCCGTCAGAAAAATGCCCCAGCTGCGCCAGGAGCCCTGCCTGGGCCGAGCCATTCAGCAGAGGCCGCACCTCTTACTGTAACCCTCGGCCGCGGGCCAGGCTGCCAGGGGAACGCGTGCTTCCTCACCACGGGATGGAGGGTGAGCGGGCCCCAGCCCTCCACGGGGCCTCTCAGCCTGGCCATGGCACAGACTCCTTTTCCCTTTAGACATCTGAGGTTGGCAGAATAAGGCCCGCCACTGGGTTTTGTTAATAAAGTTTTTTTTTTTTGAGATGGAGTCTCGCTCTGTTGCGTCTCCCAGGTTCAAGCGATTCTCCTGCCTCAGCCTCCTGAGTAGCTGGGATTACAGGTGCCCACCACCACACCCAGCAAATTTTGGTATTTTTTAGTAGAAATGGGGTTTCACCGTGTTAGCCAGGCTGGTCTCGAACTCCTGACCTTGTGATCCGCCCGCCTCGGCTCCCCAAAGTGCTGGGATTACAGGTGTGAGCCACTGTGCCTGACCAATAAAGTTTTATTGACACACAGCCGTGCCCATTCATACTTCTAGCGTCAGTGGTGGCTTTTATGGTACGGCGGCAGAGCTGAGTAGTTGGGTCAGGCGCCCCAAGTCTGAAAGGCTGAGAGTATTTCCACACTGGCCCTTCACACAGCGAGTTTGCCACACCTCTGAGCCCCCCGTTTTCAACAGGCCCAAAGGAATAATCCCAAGTGGAAGGTTAACATGAAAAAGTGCCCAGTACAGTGCCATTTATTTATTTATTTATTTTTACTTCTTTTTTGAGACGCTTGCTCTGTCACCCAGGCTGGAGTGCAGTGGTATGATATCGGCTCACTGCAAGCTCCGCCTCCCAGGTTCAGGCAATTGTCCTGCCTCAGCCCCCCGAGTAGCTGGGATTACAGGTGCGCACCACCACACCCGGCTAATTTTGTATTTTTAGTAGAGACGGGGTTTCACCATGTTGGTTAGGCTGGTCTCGAACTCCTGACCTCAAGCGATCTGCCTGCCTCGGCCTCCCAAAGTGCTGGGATTCCAGACGTGAGGCCCCGCGCCCGGCCACAGTGCTACTGATTGATAGAGCAAAACTGGAACCAAATCTGCTAAAGTAGACACAGCAGCTAAAATAACCAAACGCATCCACACGGCGAAACCGTGCAGCCAGTGAGAGAATGCTGCTAAAGCAGGAACCCGAAACAGGATTTAAGTCAGAATGTGGAGGTCACAGCTCGTGGGTGGGGGGACGAGAATGTGGGGAAAAGGGTACGAAAGACCAAATGCCCGGCTCTTACTGTTCGCTGGCGTGCTGGCGCCCGGGGTCAAGGCTGGTGAAGAGGGAAAGTGTCTGATGAAAGAGAGTGATGTGCCTGGAGCTTTGTCTTCCTGACAAATTTGTTCTGTTCTTCAGGCTTCAAACCTAATGAACAACCCCCAGATTCAGCAGCTGTAAGTGACAACCGGGCCCCTCCGTGTCGTCTTGTGATTATGTTTCCTTCTGTTGTGGGAAAATGCACCTGACATAAAACTAGCCACGTTAAAGTACACAACATCGTGGCATTACGTACATTCTCACTGTCAGGCAGCTGTCACCACCATTGAGCGGCAGCACGTCTTCGCCACCTCCGAAAGAAGCCCCTTCCCCCTCACCTGTCACTCCCCAGCCCCTCTCCCATCCCTGACAGCCACGCGTCCCCTTCCTGTCTCTGTGGCTGGGCCTGTCCCGGACATTTCATAGAAACAGGATCACACACTGCGTGATCTTTCGTGTCCGACATCTCTCGCTGAGCGTGACGTCCTCAGGGTGCATCTGCGCTGGGGCCTGGGTCAGGGCCTCGCTCCTTTTCGTGGCTGAGTAATATTCCAGTGTGGATGGACCAAGCTGTGCTGATCCGCACATCTATCCGTGGGCATTTGGGCTGTTTCTACCTTTTGTCTGTTGTGAACGGTGCTGCTTGAGCGTGGGTGTGCAAGCATCTGTGTGAATCCTGTTCATTTCTCTTGGGTATAAACCTCTGAGTGCAGTTACTGGCTCATGTGGTAACTCCACAGTGAACTCTGTGCTTACTGGGGAACTGCTCGCCTGTTTTCATGGTGAAATCTTTTTTTTTTTTTTGAAACGGAGTCTCACTCTGTCACCCAGGTTTGAGTGCAGTGGCACAATCTTGGCTCATTGCAACCTCTGCCTCCTGGGATCAAGTGGGTCTCCTGTCTCAGCTTCCCAAGTAGCTGGAATTACAGGCACCCGCCACCACGCCTGGCTAATTTTTGCATTTTTAGTAGAGATGGGGGTTTCACCGTGTTGGCCAGGCTGGTCTTGAACTCCTGAACTCAGCTGATCCACCCACCTCGGCCTCCCAAAGTAGAGGGATGACAGGTGTGAGCCACTGCGGCTGGCACATGGTCAAATCTAAGAGCATAGTTTCCCAGCCACAGGACCGTGGCCATTGGGGCTGGACCAGTTTCCGGAGTGGGGCCGTCCTGGGCACTGCAGGTACTAGCGGCGTCTCTAGCCTCCACCCACTCCATGTCAGGAGCCCCTGCCGCCGCTGTCTTGGCATAACCCGATCATGGCTGTTGAAAATGTCGGCTGCCACTGCAGGGGTCCTCTGGGGCAGGATCACCCCCTGGCTGAGAACCATGGTCTTTAGGCCAAAGAAGGAAGGGTGTTCCGGGAAAGCGGGTGAAACTCACGGGCTGGGTTTGGGCCCAGGAGGCCCGCCAGGTGGTGAGGGAGAATCCTGTCCTGCGGGGGAAGGTGAGGGGCTGACAGGGATTCTCTCCCGGGCCACTGAGAGGGGCCGCGGTGGGGATGGCGGTCAGGCTGTCCCGGCGGCGAGTCACGCGCTCTCTCCTGCAGCATGTCCGGCATGATTTCGGGTGGCAGCAACCCCTTGGGCACTCCCGGCACCAGCCCTTCGCAGAACGACCTGGCCAGCCTCATCCAGGCGTGAGTGCACCTGCTTTGAGCAGCACATGGGTGGCGGGCAAGGCGCACGGGTGGAAGGGAGGGAGGAGAGCGGAAGTGTTGCGTCCCCTGCTCCGAAGGGCCTGGCGTCCTCTGGCGAGGGGTCAGACCTGCCTTCGGGGTGGAGGGCCTGAGGGCTCAGCTGGGGAAGGACGGAGGCAGCCGGTAGGTTCCTGGCCCCGACGGAGCCCCGTGCGCCCTCCCCACAGGGGTCAGCAGTTTGCCCAGCAGATGCAGCAGCAGAACCCAGAGTTGATAGAGCAGCTCAGGAGCCAGATCCGGAGTCGGACGCCCAGCGCCAGCAACGACGACCAGCAGGAGTGACGCCGCGTGAGTGCCCGGGACCGGGGGGCTGGGGGGCGGCCAGCAGGAGTGACGCCGCGTGAGTGCCCAGTGGTGAGGGCAGCCAGCAGGAGTGGATGCCCGGGGGCTGCAGAGCCTGTCTGGACACTGGACGGCGAGTCTTCGGTGCATCCAGCTCAGAAGATCGCCCTGAACCACCAGGGCAGGCGGGGGCATCTCTGGGCATTGGGCCCCTTTCCAGGCGGCCACCAAGTCCTGCTCCCCACTCCTGTTTCCCATCTGTGGATCGGGGCTGGGTGGATTAGGGGGAAGCCACGGCTTCCCGGAAGAGCTGGCGTCTGGGGTCTGGGTGGGGATTAGGGGAGAGCCATGGCTCCTTGGAAGGGGCTGGTGTCTGGGCTGGCTTGGTTTCCTTCCCCAGGGCCCCTGAGTTCAGTCCTGTCCGTCTCCAGCAGATGCCGGCTCTCTGGGCGCAGGAGACTCCGGGCCTCCCCAGGAGGTGTTTTCATTCTGCTCTGACTTCATTTTGTCATCATCCCCTCCTCATATACACACTCTTTCATTTTTAAACCATAATTACTGTAGACAAATTTAAAGGACAAAAATGTTAAAAAGCAGCGAGAACAATCTTAATCTTTTTTTTTTTTTTTTTTTTTTGAGACGGAGTCTCGCTCTGTCGCCCAGGCTGGAGTGCAGTGGCCGGATCTCAGCTCACTGCAACCTCCGCCTCCCGGGTTCACGCCATTCTCCTGCCTCAGCCTCCCGAGTAGCTGGGACTACAGGCGCCCGCCACTGCGGCCGGCTAATTTTTTGTATTTTTAGTAGAGACGGGGTTTCACCATGGTCTCGATCTCCTGACCTTGTAATCCGCCCGCCTCGGCCTCCCACTTTTTTTTTTTTTTGAGAACATCCTGCTCTGTCACCCCGGCCGGAGGGCAGTGGTACAGTCACATCTCACTGCAGCCTCAACCTCGTGGGCTCAGGTGTCCCACCTCAGCCTCCCCAGTAGCTGGAACTCCAGGCGCACGCTGCTGCACCTGACTTTTTGTATTTTCTTTAGACATAGGATCTCATTATGTTGCCCAGTGGCCTCAACTCCTGGGCTCAAGCGATCCTCCCGCCTCAGCCTCCCAAAGTGCCGAGATTACAAGTGGTGTGAGCCCTGGATTCAGCCCAGCCTTAAATCTTTTCACCCAGAGCAACCAACATGAATATTTTGGCCGCCTTTTCTTCCAGTCTTTCCTTTTTTTTTTTTTTTTTTTTTAAATAGTTGAGGTGGATTTTTTACCAAGGTAACCTCATACACAAAGTACCACCACACTGTAGACCCTTCTAGGTCATGACGGTGTTCTCTGTGCCACCAGCCACACGTGGCCCCAAGTGTCTGGAACGCTTCTGGCGCGGCTGTGGCACTGGCGTTCACTGTGGCCCCCGGCTGCTGGTGGTAAGGGCCGTCCACTCTGGGCCTCTCCTGCTGCCTGGAGTGCGCGGTGCAGGCTCGGTCCCCACCTGCGCTCTGACTGCCTTCACATCTGTCCCCCGCCAGCCGCTCCCGGTGTGATCGCGTCCTTCCCTGGCTGACTGGAAGCCTCTGGTTGTCTGCCGTTTCCTCCTGTTGGACTGCCTGAGAGAGGGGAAGAGAGAGACCTCGGACCTGCATGTCAAGATGGATTTTCCCCTTTTATCTCTGTCCTCCTCCACTCCCTTTTTGTAAATCCCTGACAGCCCCGCACCCTTCTTGAAATGAGAGCCAGCAAGCTGAGCCCAGACCAGCAGCGACCTACCTTCCAGCCCCCAGAAAGCTCAGTCACCTGAGTGTTTTCTAGAATTCTGGGGGACTCCCAGGCCGCTCTCGGAGAAGCGACCGGTTTCACGTTCAGCCGTGTGGCTTCCAAAGCCTTTTACAGCCCCCGCCCCCCATCCCGTGGTGTGTCTGCAGGAACTCTCCCGTCCGTGCGAAGCCGCTTTCCGAGTCGACCTCCCGGCCACCCTGGCCCCGTGCCTGCTCGGAAGAGCTCACTGCCAGCCGCGGCCTGCGCGCCGTGGGCCATGTGTGTTTGCATGAGGAACTCTTTAGTGGCAGACACCTCAGAGACGGCTGCGGTCACCCCCGCCTCCGCGGCCCAGGAGCTGTCCTGGGTGCATAGGACCAGTTTCTGTGACTTTTCTCCGGTTGGGCGTGTTGACAGACATGCGTTTCCCCTCCTCCCACCCTCATTTTCTGGTCCTCACGACTGAGAACCAGGGGCAACATCATGACCACCTGTCCCGGCCACCTTAGCCCCGGGCACAGGGAAGGCAGCTGGGCCGTTTCTGTCTGTCCCGTCCTGCTGTCTTTCTGGGTGTTTCACGGACCCAGGGCCCCCCAGGAAGCTTACCCCTCCCATTCTGGGTGGAGGCCACGGGCACCTCAGGTGCCACCCACCTTGGCCCTAAAACAGCCACCAGGAAAGCAGCCAGATAGCCGGACAGCAGGGGGCCTTTCTCCGTTCCTGAGGCCTGGGGGTGGCAGGCGAGCCCATGCGCCGTGGTCCCGGCCGCAGGGTTGTCAGTCGGAGCGTCCTGGGGCTCCCTGGCTCTTGGCCGTCTGTGAGGTAGGCGCAGTACCGTGTGTCGTAGGTAACAGTAGGAACGGGGGCCGCCGCGGCCCTGCAGCCCCTCACGGCGGTGAGGCGTGTGCCGAGCCCACCCGGGGTGCAGGGCGTGACATGTGAGGAATAAATAGGCATTGTGACCTCTGTCTGTCTTCGTGTTGACCTTGGCGCCACCGATACCCCCCAACCCCAGACCTCGAGAAAACCCCCGACACGGAGTTTGCACATCAGCTGCGCTGCTTGTGAGAGTCCCCGCGACGCCTGGAGTCGCACTTCCTGGGTCACGGGTCGTGGGAGGTTCCGGACAGTCAGCCTCTACCCTCTGCTGTCTCCGTTCCCTCTGCCTCCGCCCCCAGCTGCGTCCTGGTGCAGAGGGTCACCCCACGGTCGGGTGAGATGCCTCGGTCCTCAGCAGAGAGTGATTGTATTGTCTGTTGCTTTGCTTTTCTCTTTTTTTTTTTTTTTTTGAGACCGAGTTTTGCCCTAGATGCCCAGGCTGGAGTGCAGTGGTGCGACCTCGACTCACCGCAACCTCCACCTCCCGGGTTCAAGTGATTCTCCTGCCCCAGCCTCACGAGTAGCTGGGATTACAGGTGCGCGCCACCACGCCCGGCTAACTTTTTGTGTTTTTAGTAGAGACGGGTTTTCTCCATGTTGGTCAGGCTGGTCTCGAACTCCCAACCTCAGGTGATTTGCCCACCTCGACTTTCCAAAGTACAGGGATTACAGGCGTGAGCCACCACGCCTGGCCTCGTCTGTTGCTTTTCTAGCGTATTGTAACTCCGTAAATGCTGTCTTCTGTAACCAGAGGCACCTCCCTTTCACAACGGCTCCAGTTGAGAGGATGGCCCCAGGCAGGAAGGAACCCAGAAAGCTTCCGGGCCTGTCTCGGCCCCAACCCTAGGATGCTACACAGGCTTTTGTCGTGAACACAGAAGCTGCTCCCTGGGCCAGGTGTGGTGACTCACACCTGTCATCCCAGGACTTTGGGAGGCTGAGGCGGGTGGATCACTTGAGGTGAGGAGTTCAAGACCAGCCTGGCCAACATGATGAAACCCCATCTCCACTAAAAATACAAAAAAAATTGGCGGGCGCGGTGGCAGGTGCCCGTAGTCCCAGCTATTCAGGAGGCAGAGGCAGGAGAATCGCTGGAACCCGGGAGATGGAGGTTGCAGTGAGCTGAGCTAACACCATTGCTCTCCAGCCTGGGGAGCAGAGCGAGACTACGTAAACATAAAAATGAAAGAACAGCTCCCTGAAGGTCACCTAAACTTTGATGGACTGTGAATTCCTGTTTCCCACAAGCCAAGGTTGGGCACCGGCACCCCCATGCCAGAGACAGAGAAACCGAGGCCTGGCTGTCAGGCCCGAGGTCACCCCACCTGTGAGCGTCTGAACCTGGCGGAGCCCTGGCAGGGCCTCTGGCTCAGGACCCTGCCTCCAGCTCCCCTCTTCTCCACCCCTGCAATCGCAGGAAGAACCGAGAGCCGCAGGGGTGGCGTTTCAGGTTCAGCCGCGACCTCTGTCAGCTCCCAAAAATCACACACCAAAAAGTCACAAAATGCAAAGAATAGCTGCCCCGGGATTGCCGGGTCTAGTGCTGAAGAGGCCTGGCTGTGGGAGACAGGTGTGCACTTCAGGTCTCCGGCAGCGCTTCTCACCCGGGTGGCTCTTGCTCCAGGGCACACTTAGCTGGACAGCATCTGGGGACACTGTGGTTGCTGCAATGGTGGGGGTAGAGGCCGGGGACGCTGCTCAGCCCCCTGCAGGGCCCAGGACGGCCTCGCCCCAGAGAATGATCTGGTCCCCGTGTCCACAGAGCCTGGGCGGTGGAAGGGGAACCCTGGATGAGCGATGCTCTTTGGACTGTCCTCAGCTCAGCAGCAGCAGCGTGTCCTGGAGGCGCGGTAGAAACTCTAAGTCTTGGGCCCCACCCCAGGCGTAAATCAGACACTCCAGGCCAGGCACAGTGGCTCACGTCTGCAATCCCAGCACTTTGAGAAGCTGAGGAAGGGGGATGGCTTGAGCCCAGGAGTTCAAGATCAGCCTGGGCAGGATGGTGACCCTCAGCTGGGTGCAGTGGCTCACGCCTGTAATCCCAGCACTTTGGGAGGCCGAGGCGGGCAGATCACCTGAGGTCAGGTGTTCGAGACTAGCCTGGCAAACATAGTGAAACCCTGTCTCTACTAAAAATACAAAAATTAGCCTTGCATGGTGGTGGGCGCCTGTAATCCCAGCTACTTGGGAGACTGAGGCAGGAGAATTGCTTGAACCCAGGAGGCGGAGGTTGCGGTGAACCAAGATCGCGCCACTGCACTCCAGCCTGGGCAACAAGAGTGAAACTCCATTTCAAAAACAAAAAATACGATGGTGAGCCTCTATCTGTACCAAAAAAAAATTAGACTGACATGGTGGTGCTCATTTGTAGTCCCTGCTCCTCAGGAGGCTGAGGCAGGAGGATCACTGGAGCCTGGAAGTTTGAGGTTGTACTGAGTCATTATCACACTGCTGCACTCCAGCCTGGGCAAAAGAGTAAGGCCTTGTCTCAAAAAATAAAAAATAGGCCGGGCGCGGTGGCTCATGCCTGTAATCCCAACTCTTTGGGAGGCCAAGGTGGGCAGATCATGAGGTCAGGAGATCAAGACCAGCCTGGCTAACACGGGGGAACCTCATCTCTACTAAAAATACAAAAACTAGCCGGGGGTGGTTGCAGGCGCCTGTAGTCCCAGCTACTCGGGAGACGGAGGCAAGAGAATGGCGTGAACCTGGGAGGCGGACCTTGCAGTGAGCCGAGATCGTGGCCGCTGCACTCCAGCCTGGGCAACAGAGCAAGACTCCGTCTCAAAAAAAAAAAAAATAAATAAAAATAAGTCAGGGCCGGGCTCGGTGGCTCACACCTGTCATCCCAACACTTTGGAAGGCCGAGGCGGGCAGATCACTTGAAGTCAGGAGTTCAAGACTAGCCCGGCCAACATGGTGAAACCCCGTCTCTACTAAAAATGCAAAAATTAGCCGGGCGTGGTGATGCACACCTGTAATCCCAGCTATTCGGGAGGCTGAGGCAGGAGAATCTCTTGAACCCAGGAGGTGGAGGTTGCAGTGAGTCAAGATGGCACCACTCACTCCAGCCTGGGCGACAGAGTGAGTGAGACTCTATCTCAAAGGAAAAAAAAAAATTAGATACGTGTGTGGGCCCCGGTTGTATGTTCATCAAACCCTCTAGCGGCCACCAAATTTAAGACCCAATGGTCCCTCTGTGTCCTGCTTCTTGTATTTAGCCAGCCCCTCCACACCCATTGGATCTGCATCCTATTTATTTATTTTTTTTGAGATGGAGTTTCGCTATTGCTGCCTAGGCTGGAGTGCAATGGAGTGCAATGGCGCGATCTTGGCTCACTGCAATCTCCACCTCCCAGGTTCAAGCGATTCTCCTGCCTCAACCTCCCCGAGTAGCTGGGACTACAGGCACCCGCCACCACGCCCAGCTAATTTTTCTATTTTGGGTAGAGACGGGGGTTTCACCACATTGGCGAGGCCGGTCTTGAACTCCTGACCTCAGGTGATCTGCCCGTCTTGGCCTCCCAGAGTGCTGGGATGACAGGTGTAAGCCACAGCGCCTGGCTGGATCCGCATTGTAAGTCAAACAGCCCAGGTGATGGCCATGCCCCTGTTTGGAGATGCACACTACGGGAAACACCTGCGGACACTGTCGCTGGAGGCACGTAGCCCAACTGCGGCCGGCACGCCCTTCAGTCTTAGTAGACGACCTTGGCTTATTTCCGCCCATCTCGTGTCCATCACCGGGAGAGCCTGCACAGCCTCTTCCCAGTTGACCCTGAACCCAGCCCAAGCCTTTGAGAGACCCCAGAAAGTTTCTGTTTTGGAATCACCACAGGGTGGAGAAGAGGAGGGGCGGCGAGGGGGAGCTGTCATCCCAGAACCAGCGGCTTCTCTGTGCAACTTGATGAGAAGCGTGTCATAGATAACGGCTTGTCGATCCCACACAAGTTAGAAATAGGGTATTTCTGACTATTCCTGTCAGAGATGCACGGAGCAAAGAAATGGTAATTCAACTTGGGTTTTGCGTAAGTCGTGACTCGGGGCTCCAGGAGTAGGTTGAACCTCCCAAGTGTAATCATGGAATTAGGAAGGCCCTGCCCTCTGCTTCTCTGCGCACTTGGGGTGCGGTTCCTACGAAACCTGACCCTGCAGGGGCTACGTTGCAAACCCCTCCGGAGTAAGTCCCAGGAAGCCACGCGGAGGAAACAAATAGTGGTTTTCTTTTTTGCAGAATTGGTGCTTCTCAATGGGGGCAGTTGTCCTCCCCAGGACACAGGGTGATGTCTGGGGACATCTGTGGTTGTCACGACTGGGGGTTGCGCCTGGCATGGAGTGGGTGGAGGCCAGGGACGCTGCTCAGCACCCTGCAGTGCCCAAGATGCCCCCACTCGAGAGAATAATTCAGCCCCAAATGTCCATAGCACAGAGGAGAAGCCCAGCCGCATGATACTCTAGATAAATGTGTCAAATAAATCCATGTCCCAAACCGTTTGGCCATTAGGAAAAACAATTTGTCACTGGCTCTGGAATGTCCCAGTATCTTTGAAGGAAAAGATTTCACCCCAAACTGAGTAACATGAAAACCTAAAACAAGTCGGGCACGGTGGCTCACGCCTTTAATGCTAGCACTTTGGGAGCCCAAGGCGGGCGGATCACGAGGCCAGGAGATCAAGACCATCCTGGCTAACACGGTGAAACCCCATCTCCACTAAAAATACAAAAAATTCTCTGGGTGTGGTGGCGGGCACCTGTAGTCCCAGCTGCTCCAGAGGCTGAGGCAGGAGAATGGTGTGAACCCGGGAGGTGGAGCTTGCAGTGAGCTGAGATCGCGCCACTGCACTCCAGCCTGGGCGACAGAGCGAGACTCCGTCTCAAAAGAAATAAAAAAACCTCAAATAAAGTGACCTTCCCCATCCTGTTCTCCATCTTTCAAAAATATCTTATTTCAAATTATTCTTTTTAGAGACAGGGTCTGGCTCTGTTGCCCAGGCTGGAGTGTAGCAGCATGACCATAGGTCACTGTAGCCTCAACCTCCTGGACTCAAGTGATCCTCCCACCTCAGCTTTTCAAGTAGCTGGGACTA